TCCGCTCCAGGGAAGATTTCAGCCTTGAAATGCCTGCGGGATCCTTCTACTGAATCCTACAGGTTTCACAGACATAGGAATCAATTTGACAGTCTTAATTTGGGTTTTTTGGTTTAAAATATTCAGTATCTCATATGCTGTTCGGTTGGTGCTTTTAACTTGAGTCTTCAGCTCCACTTTAAAGTCAAGACCAGACTCTGCCTGCCTTCAATGCCAGGGCAGGGCACGTGACACCCCCACAATAAATACATGTGGGTTGGTTACTATTGAACTCAGGTGATGGATTTCATCCAGAATGAGAAGAATTCTCTGGTGTTTCTCTGAGTTGCTGACATTGATCAGAAGCATAGTTTCTGGAAATGGCCGTAATGCTTGCCTGGTCCATAATCTTTATTTTCTGTCTCCATTTTCCCCAATCAGCTCGGCAGAATAACGCCACTGGAAAACAGACTGTTTTGGCAAAGGCAAAGAGAACATTTTTCTAGTGCAGTCTCTGTGGCTCCTTTTAAGGCCGAGGACCCTGGGCCCAAAAGTCATTTGGTAACCACAAGCCATTTAACTTTGACCATTTAACAAAGTCAGTCTGAATGGCTACTAAATGCAGGGCCCTACTGGGGCAGGAAGGATAAATAAGGACCGAGTTTTGCCAGGTCTCTGAAGTTCCTGTCTTCACCTGTTCCTGTCTGTGTGACCTTGCACAAGTTCCTCAGTTTGTTGAATTTTGCTCCTCTAAGTTGGAGGTACAGAATTCATCTTGTAAAGCTATCATTAGGGTGAAATACACTAATATACATAGAGAGTTTAGCACAGTGCTTCAACAAAGGTCACAGTAAATAGTACACTGCTATAGCCTGATACCGCCACCATCATGTCTCCAATCTGCTAGTTTGTTGGACTGTGGTGGCTTGTAGATAGCTACAATGCTGGAAATGATGCCACTGGTATCTCATAGGCGAGCAGGGTCCCACCTCACAGAAGGATTTGCATGGAACTTCCAAACTATAGGGTCACTATGAGATGGAATGGACTTCGTGGCAATAGGTTTGGTTTTCCAAACTACATAGACCAGGAAGAAAGGCTTGGCAGTCAGTCAATGAAAATCCTATGGATCGCAGCAGACTATTGTCCAAAAGAGCACCAGAAGAGGAGCCCCCTAGGTTGAAAGGCACTCAAAATGCAGTGGCCACAGCAATGGACTTGAGACTATCAAAGGTCATGAAGATGGCACAGGCCTGGGCAGCATTTCATGGGATCCCTGGGAGTCACAGCCTAGTCAACAGCAACCAAACAATAACAATAACCCTGTAGCCAAACAGGCTGAGACCCACAGAAGCCATGTAGGTAACTTATATGAAGTCAAGGAGTCAGAAGGAGGCAGAATCACAGCTGAAGGCCAGCTCCCCATAACCTAGTATGTTCTCTGCCACAACTCCTTGTAGGCATTTTGCATAAGTGAGCACCCTACCATCCTGAAATCTGATGAGCAAGAATAATATTCATATCTGCCTTACACACCACTTTGACCTTCCCTAAATGGCTGTCCTTCCCTGATCACATGCAGACCTCTAGCCAGGAGGCCAGCAGGCCAGCGGAAGCATCACCCAGCCCAACTATTGCTGACTCTATCAACAATCCTTTGAAAGGCACGTGCCACATTTCCTCGTGGGTTGTTGTGATGATTCAATGAGATCATGCCTTAAAGAGTGCCAATCAGAGCACCTGACATCATATGCAGCCAAGAAGTAGTATCTATTATTGGAGGGGGAAAATTAATCAGAGAAAATGAAAATGCTGGGGTTCCCACTCCCTCACAGCTGACACATTCTGGAACCCAGGACGCAAATGGCAACGGCAGGTCAGGTTGGGATCCATCGGAAACAAATGGACACAGAGTCTGCGTAAAAGGACAATTAAGGACAGAGTTCGCTGATGACAGAGGAGGTAGCTGGAGTTCCTACAGTCTCCTTAGAACACTTACAGTTCTGGATTAAGAATTTCCAAGTATTGCCAGTTTCTCATTCTGAAATAAAAAATTATGCATGCTGAGCAATGAATACAGCATCAGGATTGGAGGAAGGTCTATTAACAACCTGTGAATATGCAGAACAGCACAACCTTGCTGGCCAAACGAAAGCAGTTGTTGACGAAGATGGAGGATTACAACCTTATGTGGATATCGATTGCCATTCAATGTCAAGAAAGCCAAAATCTTCAACAGAGTCAATTGATAACATGATGACAAATGGAGAAAAGATTGAAGTGGTCAAGGATTTCCTCGTGCTTGGATCCACAATCAATGCTCATGGAAGCAACAGCCAAGAAATCAAACAATGTATTGCATTGGACAAATCTGCTGCACAAGCCTTCTGTAACGTGTTCAAGAGAAAAGATATCACTTTGAAAACAAACTTGTGCCTGATCCAAGACGTGATATTTTCCATCACAACGCAAATGAAAGTTGGAGGATGAGTAAGACCAAAGATGATTATGTTTGGATTGTGGTGTTGGCAAAGAATAATGAAAGTACCCTTCAATTCCAGAAGAACAAACAACTCTCTCTGGAAGAGGTACCACCAGAAAGCTCCTTAGAAGTGAGGCTGATGAGGCTTGATCTCAGGTACTTTAGCCATGTTCTCGAGAGAGGATCGGTCTCTGGAAAAGGGCATCCTGCTTGCTTGGTAAAGTTAGAGGGGCAACAAAAAAGAGCAGAACCTTCAGAGATGGATTGACACAGTGGCTGCAACAGTGAGCTCAAACAACAATTGTGAGGATTTGGGAGGGGCCCAAAGTTGAGAAGTGTTCCTTTCTATTGTATAAGGGGTCCCAAGATGCCAAAGCGCCTCAGGGTCACCTAACAAAACAACCACAAACTTTACAGCAAGTTTATCAAAGAAGCAATTCTGCACCCCTTCTAGCCGATGTACTGGAGCATTTGCCTTTGCCAAGGGGACAGGTGCTCAGAAAAATGCCTGTTATCTGTTCACCTGGGCAGGTATTTGCAGGGAATCTAAAAAGGACAACCAAGTATAGTCTATATGGTTCTAAGTGAATGGTTATGCAAATCACGTACGCAAATACTTGGGAAAGGACTGAGGAGGTTACTGATCTGGTTTCTCCACCTGCCTCACTCTCTTTAGAGGGTAATCCGGAAGATTACCACCAAGAGCTCCAGCCAATGCTCCTGAGAACCAGAGAGGTATCAGCCTCTTCTCTCCACACGCACAGCCAAGCGACCTTCAACCACGGTCCCTGCCGGGTCATCCTTGCAGCGTGCAGGTGGAGTTGTTTGCTGTCCTCTGCCGCCTGGCCGCCAGAATTAGGCTTGGAATTGGGAGCTCGACCTTGGCCAGCCTAGAAGACACCAAGTACTGAAAGAAGCTAGCTCGCCCTTTTCTGAAAGGGACGAGGGGGGACGGAGGAGGCGAGGGGCTGCAGAATAAGCCCTGCAATGCGAAAGCACTCGGCTCAGCTCCCCGAGACGACAGCCGGCAAGTCTGGCTTGCTCTGCCGCCTCTTCAGCCCAAGAAGCCTGGCATGCACCCTGGTGGTCCCGGGAAAGAGAGTTCCCATGCCCGGAGCTCCTGCCCGCCACCCCCCACCACCACCACTAATCCACTGCGGGCGACTGGATGCCAGCCTTTCAAGGCCTCTCCGCCACCTCCACCCAGAGCGCGCTGGCTGTCCCTAGGCGCCCGCTGCACCAGGTAAGGGCCCTGGGTGCGCTCCTCCTGGCAACTGTCGCGGGACTCTAAGGACGCGGTGGAGGGGCAAAAGGGAGGGAGGCGGAGCATGCGGCCAGGGAAGCGCTCACGCGCGCCAGGAAAGCGCCCCCTCTCTAGGAAGAGAAGGTAGGGCTTCCCGGCCACGGGAACGCCCCGGGGAAGCCCCGAGCTATCCAGCTAGTTCACGGGTTTGCCCGCTCCGGTGGTTCTTCCTCCCGCCCTACACCCCAAACTTCTCCCCGGAAAGCTAACCCTAAGCCCCCGCCACTTGGCTTGTCCAGAGCCGCAGACCTGGTCTCATGCTTCCGCGGCACCAGCAACAGGCTGAGGGAGCCCTGGCGCCCCGGCGCCCCCGGGGACGGAAAGTCCCCCGCAGGCGTCCTCCTCTGGCACCTGGCACCCCGACTTCGCTAGCGGGAGAGATTGAGGTGGCCCCCGGCGGGGACGCTGCGGTAAAGTTGCGGGGATCTGGCGGAGAAGTGTGCGGGCCGCTCGGGGAGGTGGAGACGGAAGCGGGTACCTGCGGGAGTCCGGGCGCGTCTGGCTCCCCGCGCTGCAGGGATCCGGCCTGGCCGCCGCGGCGG